GCCAGTGGTTGTTCAAATTGAAACTGAAACAGTAACCGGAACTCTCCGATGAAATCACGTCGGTCGGCTACAAGCACGCCTTTTGGTGCAGTGGTTCTGGTTGTTCTGTGGAGCAGAAGGAAGACTGAGATATTGAGATGGTGTCGATTTAAGGATATAGAATTCGGATCGTCTAAGATTGCGAGGAAAATAAGCGCCACCGTTTGCAACACTTGGCTGTGTCGTTCAGTCTTTATTCATTGACTACACTGACGCCAAAAAGAACAACGGGATGTACTAGCTAGTCTCCTGGTTACTGATTTCATTCCAAGCTCAAGTTTGACCCCGTTCGTACCACGGAAAACATCGCAAGTCGAGGTAATCTATTTGATGACTTGCGTAGCACCTTTAACCGACGTATCCCATCGAATGACTACTTCCTCCCGTGACTGCCTAAAACTGCACCTAACCCCAGCATGGCTCGTTATGTCGTCCCACCGAACCATCAAAACGCAGCATACAGATCGGTGATCTACCACTGACAGTCTACCTTTATCCCGTCCCCAAATCCGGAAGGTCTCTACACCATGTATGGCGTAAATTCAGAGAGAACTGCTCAATCGTAAGACTTAAGACGCTACCGTCATGTTCATACCGATTTCCAAGACATAAAAAACTTTATTTGGTCAGCATTGCCTAAAAGACCACCATTAAACCGAAGTTCATTCGCAATCTGTTTATATATATAAAACATATTATATGAGGACTGAAGGTACGAAAATCAATCGATGAGCAATGACGACTGCATTATCTCCTGTTGGGTAGTCCTGTGTACATATCATTCCTGAGTAACCCGAGAATGTCCGAGTTTTTTGGGGGTAGCAACATTCTTAAGGTGATAGGCAGATTCGCTAGCAACCGTAGAACCACCGCAACCCCTTTCACAATCAAGTTCTGACAGTTTTGTCGACAGGCATCATTTGACGCCATCGACGACGTGGGAATTCTAAACCTGCATAGATTTCATTCGAAGGCACAGATTAATTTGACCCATGAACAGGGTTGACACGGCACGTTTGCTTACTGCGACCGTCCTCGTGTATGATAGCGGTGAGCATCGGCTGGAGTAGTTTTCATGCAAAAGAACTAGTATCTTCAGGTTTCGTATCCGTTTAAAAGGAGTTGACAGTGATTAGAAAAGTCTTGAACAAAATAGGAAAAACTTTATATGACAATGGTTCAAAATTACAGAGACTGTACAAGAGTGATGGTTTCTCCTTTCAGTAGGATTCGCCCTAAGAGAATGATAAACAACAATGAGGGACATACCAAGAGGTTTTTTCGCTCCGGACTTCATATGTCTCTCACAGGCATCTGCCAAAACGAGATTCATGTATTCATCAAAACCCTTAAAAACCATTTTCGACATCAAAGTGGCCGAACTTACAATGATAACACCTTCGATCCGCATATTACATTGTTCATATAACCATACTTGGACGCGAATTTTCTAAAGGCAAATCAAGTTATGGGAACAGAAACACACCTTTTGCAGAAAATTATAGATAACTCCCTATGAAAGCTTGATGAATAGGTAACTATAACTTACGATTGGCTGTTGAAGCGCCTTTTGTGGCCGATTACCGTGCCCTCGATGCATTGGTAGAATTTCAAAACTGGCGCCCAGGAAAACGACGACCTTGAGCGATTAAAACAACGCAATTCAGCGAGGTTTGCGCAATATGATGTGTGGCTCGTTCCAAAAGTGCATC